CCCCCAATCAGTATATATCTTTAATTTCAATAAATGCACAAAGCTTGGAAGACATCTGGCCAGGCTCCAAGGAATCTACACTTTTACATAGTTCAATCCTTTAATTTGCAAGTTGGTTTAAAAACATTGATCATCACACAGTTGCAATTTCATTTTACATTGGGGTCAGTTTGTCATTTATGGCCTTTGAAATACCCAGCAATTAGGACTTTGTCTGGAGACTGCAGCGATCACAGCAATGAAAACCAACACTTGCGAAGACTCCCCCCATCATACACCAGTAACACTTACAATTCTATATTATTCCACAGGTCACAGAACACTGCGTGAATCGTGTAACCAAAATAACATTCTAAACACATCGAGTATATTTTTGTTGTGAAGGGACCAGTGAAAGACAAGTCGAACAGACAATCCAACTATTCCCTTGATAAAGATTGTTTTGTTCTCGCTTTTGGTAAAAAGCCAGCCGGGATAAAAGACAACCGGGACAGTTCCGAGCTGCACGGTCAGTGCGCTAGCTGCCCGTGTTCGGTGTGTTTTCGTGAAGACTCTGGAGAGCCAGGTCTGACCATTTCATCTCCTGCTCCTTAACTGACTCGGTTGACCCACCATTGTCCTGTTCCGCCTCAGGAAGTTCACTCTGCACCAGAAAAAAAAAATGAAGATCACATTACACGTTCTCCACCGACAAACTACTTTAAACTATCCGAATAATTAACCCGCTTGGCGTCGTACTGTACTGCAGTGATTAAATCTGCAGCTCTCTTCTTTCCTTACCGACACTTATCGTCTGTAACGCGAGGATTATGTAATTTGCACATCAAACGAGGGGTCCACTTCAGAAGGAAACGTGCAATGAGTTCATTCTTAATCTGTTTTACTTGAAAACCTAGGAGGCTCTTAAACGGTCATCCACAGATAAAACGCCAGAATATCAGGTTCAGGTGGGAGTAAACTCCCACCGGGATATCTCCAGATTTATTTAATCTTGTGTATTTAAAAACGATCCAGTTTACCAGCGGGATGGTGACGTCTTCATAAGGCAATCGATCTTCCCTCCAGGCATCATCGATCAGGTCCAGCACCCTTCCATCGCGCTGAACTTCGCTGTCCATCGCTGCGCAAAGCCACAGTCAGACCCGATTTGTTGTATTAATCTGGTGACTGCGTTTTACAAGAAGGCACAAGTATTTAATTCTGTGGAGTCTAAATCTACGCTTACCTTACACCTTTCCTGTTTAAAGACAACTTGACAAACACATCCTCCTTCGTCGCTCTAGTTGAACGTCACTGCTTTATGTCCTTCAAAATACTCCCCCCGGATGTGTGCGTTTCTAGTAAAGGGTTCCTAGACTACAGATGACTGTAAATTTAATATCTTATTTCACTCTGGTTTTAGAGTACGCGTATTTGGACAAGTCTTACAATAATTCTTGAATAATCTTTCTGAACATTACAGCGTTTTCGCCCTTGCAAAGGTACCAGGATAGGCTATATCCTTAAATGAAGATTCAAGCGCACAATTATTCAGATGGCAGAATTATACTCCCTGTATTTTCTGTGAAGGTACTATGAAACGTTTAATGAGGGAACGCTTATTTTTTAAAGCAACACGACTCGACAATGGATTTTTAAGGGTTTATTTTTGCATGTGGTATTTTTATTTAAATATGCCATTTATATCTACATTAAAATACCAGGTCTCCGTATATTCAAGGCCATATCATGCTCGCACACATACAGCATATTAACGAAATGTGGTGGAATATGCTCCTCCTTCAGAAAATTATGTAGCCGTGCAAGATCATTCACATGATCAATGCTTTCGTATGCACCTATTGTATATTACCTTATCGATACTTTATCTACCGCAGAAACTATGGCTCTTTAAATCAATGGTGCTGTTTTTACATCACAGTCAGACCAGACTGTAATCCAATCAAATTGAGTAAACTAACATGCGTTTCCCTACACTGGACTTTTATTGGGTAGCAGAAAATATTGTGCTTTGGTCTTGAATCTGCCAGAGGGTGGCGATTGGTTACTTCACTCACGCAGTATTCCTGTGATGGTGGATTAATGCACCTAAGCAGGTAGAGTTGAATTTCCGAGCAAGTTTATTTTTTGTCTATTTAAAGGATCGTTTGTACAGTATGCTGTTACCGAAGTCAGCTAACCTTCGCTTCACATGAATGAGACAATTAAGATCGTTATAGTCTTTTAAGTAGTCTTATTCGATTGCTGAGCTTTGGATGCGCAGTTACGGACTAGTATTTCAACTTCAGAGGTTAGGCAGTGTTGATATAGTAGGTGTTCATTTTGTTGGAAATATATTTTTACCAGTGTTACTGTAAGTAGTGGAGTTTAAGTTAAATTAAAGTGCTTGATAGATTTACGAAGGTACTGTCAGTGCATTGGTTTATTAAGCCATATTGTGCCTTCGCGTATTTACAATATACCTTTGGTGTTTTATTATAAGCTCAGATCAAAGTATTCGGGTCTTTTGAATTATTGCTATTGAATAATTGATAGTGCAAGACGATGTCGCCTTTTAACGTGAAAATTTGAAAGTACGAGACCTTATTTCATTAGCTAATCAAAAAGTGCATTAACACAAATCTTTTACAAAAGCAAGTAAGGAAGACGTGCATTTTCTATATATCCGCGCTATAATTTTTTACACCAGTATTTTTCTGTCCGCCTTGTGTAAGAGTTTTGTCAAAAGAACAGTGCCTTTTTATTTTTCGTAAACTAGCTTTTACTAGTTCACACTGTAATAAGTGTACGTCCTGTTGCTACAAAATGGCATTAGAGACAATACAATACAATAATGCGAAACGGACAGCTGGTGTATATATCTATACAGTGTGTGTGGCGTGTGAAGTATATCTCTCTGTGCACTGTGCAGGTTGTATTTTCCGTGTTTGTTTTCACAGGTTAAGCAATGGATCTAGTGCTGAATTATGCAGACTATTATTTCTTCACGCCTTACATCTACCCATGTACATGGCCAGAGGATGAGCCTCTTCGACAGATCATTGGCCTGATGTTGGTGACCAACCTGGGTGCCGCCCTCCTTTATCTGGTTCTGGGGGCTCTGAGTTTCTACTTCATCTTTGACCACAGCCTGATGAAGCACCCCCAGTTTCTTGAGGTACACGATAAAAAAGATCTGTCACACACCCCCAACCCCCCCATACAGATGATCTTTTTTTCTGATTCATAAGCACAGCACTTACTGTTTTAGTCTTGGTCACGTCAAACCTTTCTTTTATTAAAACAGTTAAATAAGCCACCTCTTGCCTCTAATATTTAATCATCAGAAAACTGAAGAGATTAGTGCTGCCCTTTGTGAGGTGCCACAGTCGGATTTTAGTTTAGCTGTAATGTTACTATTTTGAATTATTTATTCTTTATGCTTTATTTAATCCAAATGAGTTCTGAACGCATTCTTAGTTACAATGATGTGTTTATCCAAAGCAGCTTAGATTCGCATTCATTTACTGTATGTAACTGGGTATCGTACTGGAGCAATTCAGGCAAGATATCTTGCACAAGAGCCCGACAGCAGTGTACCAGAACCCACAAACTGCTAGTTATGAGCCCCGATCTCTGACCACTGCTCAGAGTGATAACCTATTGAGTACAGCTTAACATAGCAGGGCGTTCTGGTGCAATGTCGGTAATATCGAGTGAAGTACTTTGCAAACTGGATCTGACTGTAGTGTCCCACTCAGGATGTGAGCTCATGGCCCTTTGTTTGAGAGTCACTGCCCCGCACATTCTTCTTAAAATCCTCTTCACCTGACCCCTGGGGGGGTTTGTAAGAGAGCTGCTCTGTACAAAGTGGACCATAGAGGAAAGGGCTCCACTCCTTTTTGTCATGGGATGGGCAGTTGAGCATAGCCAAAGAGAGATAAGCAGCAAATCACTGGGAGGTCTGAGAAGCTGGAGTACACATTTTGAATCATCTTGATGTGTTTAATTGTTTTTTCTTGCCTGCACGTTTGACAGCCTGTGTGTATTTCCATGCAGAATCAGGTGTGCCGGGAGATCAAGTATGCCCTGAGCTCCTTACCCTGGATCAGTATTCCCACAGTCGCCCTGTTCTTTGCAGAGGTCAGAGGTTTCAGCAAGCTCTATGACAACATCAGCGACTCTCCATATGGTAGGATACTGCTATAATGGATGTTGGGGGGGTGGGGGGTGCATTCCTTTTTGAACCAACACGCGAACATGCAGGACGTGTGCTGTGAAGATCTTGTGAGTTATGTTCACAAAGAGACTTTTACAAGCTTTTTATTGCTCTGTGTTGCAGGTTGGTTTGGAGTCATCCTCAGCATGATTTCTTTTTTGTTTTTCACGGATATGTGCATCTACTGGATCCATCGGTTTCTACACCACAAACTCATTTACAAGGTAATGGTGACTGCAAGCCTGCAGTGCGTGGAGACAAAAAGAGTGCTGTCACGTGATTATACTGTTATATATCTGTGTCTGATAAAAGGTTATGACAATATCTGCTCTAGAGCTATATATAAAATCCTGCTTATGCCTTGTTGATCAAGTATGAAAGAGCTTTGGGACTCTGTATTGTATTGACCATTTTGTTTTCTTCTTAACTAACACTCAATCAGCTATCACCATTTTGTCTCTCAGGAAATCCCACTGGACTTTAGAAAGCTTTTTCCTTTGTCTCGATGCCTGCTGTATGCCTGCATTTCTTACACTGATCTGCGGTTTTCATTCCTTTCATAATTTCCCGAAGAGACCAAGCTTCTTCTTTTTTGTTGCATTAGATGCATTAAAAACAACAACAACAACAACATCAAAGCGAATTCCTTGCGATGGTTAGTTGTCCCCCTCCCTAGCTTTGAGCAATGCCACAGCTCCAGAAAGTTCACAATTCCCAAGCGTTTCAAACAGCAGGTCATCAGGTCTTCTGCTGTTGGCAGTCCTGCTCTATCACATTTTGTATTTGTATTCGTTACAGTGTTTCCATAAGCCCCACCACGTATGGAAGATCCCTACTCCTTTCGCCAGCCATGCCTTTCACCCTGTGGATGGGTTTCTGCAGGGCCTGCCCTACCACATCTACCCCTTCCTCTTCCCTTTGCACAAGGTGGTCTACCTGGGGCTGTACGTGTTTGTGAATGTCTGGACTGTTTCCATCCACGATGGGGACTACCGCGTCCCAAGTCTCCTGCAGCCCATCATCAATGGCTCAGCCCATCATACCGACCACCACCTGTTTTTTGACTACAACTACGGCCAGTACTTCACCCTGTGGGACCGCATCGGGAGATCCTACCGGCACCCCTCCTCGTACCAGGGCAAAGGACCTCATGACGTCCTCAGGAAGCTGAGAGGAGAAGGCAAACTGGGCAGTAGCAACAGTGGCCATTCAAATGGGGACTCAATGAGCCACAAAAACAAATAGTACCAGTGGTTTAATGCACTGTGCTCCATTAGTCAATGCGGAGCAGTGTGGCCAATTTGTAGACCTTCCCCTCATACATGATGTTGCCTTTTTGGGTATTCAGGTGGACTGCTGTGGTATGCTAGTGTAAAGAGGCCTAGATACCTGCTGGTTTTCATTACCCGACCAGGTTTAATCACTCAATTGAAGATGTAAATGAAGTAAGTTGCTTGACTGGTTTTGTTCCGTTAAGAAAATTGGGAATCCTATGTGTGACTTGCACACTGCCATAATTGAAAAGAATCTCCCAACATTTTCAAGAGTTGAAAACAATGAAATATTTCAGATTAATCTTTAGTCTATCAAGGTTTCAATAACCAAGAGCTGGGCTGGAACACGAACCAGCAGGTGTGTGGGCATCAAGGACCAGTACTGGGAAGCATTGTGATCAATTTCTTTCTTATCGAATTCTTTAATCGGCAAACAGTGCAACTATGCTTCCTTCTGCCTGCTTCTCCGCAGTCCACCTTGTCACTGCTGAGCTGGCCAACTATCACCGATCATAGTCACTAGAGATGTGTGTCATTCCATACAAAACTCCAGATGATTCTCACACCCATATACATTTTCAATATAGTTTCGCTGAATAAAAACGTAACTCAATCTAGTTACCTAAACATATGTTTTACTAGATGCAGGACAGCAGTAAGAAACAATTTTATCTTCTATACTATAGACTAAAGTGTGTCCTTTCAGAAGAAATATGAATTTCAATAGAAGAGAATCACTAACATTTCTAGTAGACTGGACAAAAACATATAGGTGTATTATCTGAACTGTAAAAGTAAAGGCCTTTGGAAAGGATTATCTGAAGTGTTATTGGCACCAATAAATGTACAAAATATCAAGAGAAGAGTATGGCTTCTCACTTGGGACATTTTTATGGGTGTCAGAAAATGTGGGTGTCCTTAATTGGTTGATGCGAAATTATTTCTTGTATAGAAGCAACCACATCCAAAAACATCCAAGTGCACAATACTGCAGAAAAAGATAAAGGGATTGGTTGAACATTTAGCTCTGGACCTTTGTAATCATAAGAAAAATTGTTGGGGAATTCATCTGATGATTGCCTTTTGTGAAGATGGGAGATGCTTTTGTGTAACCCTGAGAAGGAATAATCCCGAAAAAGACAAAACATAACTGTAAGAATGTGCGGGTATACCTACTCTTTGCTTCCCCGATGTCGTTCCTAGCACATGATTGAAATGCTCAACTCTGCTCTCTCCAGATTGTTTATGTATCCGTTAAGACTTGTTTTTTGTGTCATTGTCAGATTATAGGATTTTTAAAGGAAAATAAAATGGAACAAATGTGGTAATAATTAGGAACAGGTGGTCTCCGGATCTCATGTGGTGTATAACGCCAGATGGAGACTACAGTAATGAATAATGGTTATTTTTCTCATTGCAGACCAGTGTAACACAGCACAGTTTTTAAAAGAGGTAAAAATAAGAACAAGCTACAAGGCTCTTAAAAAAAAAAAGAACTGTTTTGAGTTTTTAACTGAACATTTATCAGAAGGTTTCTATAAAATGCTGCTATAAAGGTGTGAAAACAAGAGTTAAATAGAATAAAAATACTTGGTTGAATCATTAACAATCATACTGTAACCATTATTGTTGCCTCTTCTGAAAATTGTGCTTGGCTTTACATTATTATGTTGTTGTCAGTGTGACATGACTGTTGCCATTCTCGAAATGTTGCCTGGATGTCAGAAGATTTAGTTTTGTGCCTAGAAAAAGGTTTGTCTTCATCTAAAGATTTTTGACAAATTATCAAAAACTCTAATTCAAGAAAACTTTGAACATAATTGTATAACTTTGTAAGATATGTAATAATTTATGAAATCACTGTAGTTTGAAATACATTTATTGGAAGGGGATGTTTGTTTTTTAAAAAATACCCTTTTTCTATAACAAAAGAAGATGTCAAAGATGGCTTGGGAATGATGTCTTTAGTGTGTGCCAAAAAGATTGTACTGTAATATTTGTTTCTGAAGCTGAAGCTTGTTTTCATGCAAGTACTATATGGACCAAAGTGGCTGTCGTTGATATCTCTGTGTGTTTTGGAAGTTGAAGACGCGAAAATTTGAGGAAATATTTGTGGAGAAGAAAGATTAAAGCAAACCTCTGAAGTGACTGGTCAGTCTATAGACAGTGCCTATATTAGCAGTAGCACTTCCTTCCAACCTTTTGGATTTTTTAGTCATGTATCACTGGCAGAAAACGTTTAACAATTTCCTAAAAGAAAATTAAATTGGACAATGGCTACACTATGAATCCTGTTCAATTTGTGTTATTGGAAGAACTGTGCAGACCCAAATAACATACTGTAGGTCAAAATTAATTTTATCTTGTTAGACAAGAACGTTGTGAATTTATGATACTAAAATAATGCACCTGACTACAGTATGCTCTTATTTTTCTTTGAAAGACCTTAATGTTTTCCCAGATGCAGAGTACAGTCCACAGACGTTTAGACATCAGGCAGCAAATATTGTATAAATCTATATAATAGTGAATTCCATTACTTTCTCCAGAAACTAACTTTTGAAGGAAATAAAAAAAAGTAAAAGTACTCAAAACTCTTTTGGAGCTTGCTTTAAAGAGCTAACAAGTTAACGTTAGGTTAAGTGGGAAATGAGGAGGGATTTCTGTAATGGCCTGTTTGTGCAACAACTTATAAATATTCAAAACGGCAAAGAAAAGACCGTGCGTGTTGGAAAAGCAAAGTAATAAAATATGAGTATATATTGAATTCTGAAGGTTCTGCTACAGGAAAAAAAAACTCCCTTGTACAGAATACGATACTTATTAAACAATGTTGTCATTCTGTATTCTGGATACATTGTTCAAATACTAAGTATCCGGAATACTAATAGGAATTTAATATGCATGTAAACGCTCCTATTGTTAGCATTATGAAAATATGCCATCCTAATGAAAAATGTATCTCATACACTGCTCGTTAGAAAAAGAACAAAATGATGTCCCTGGTGTCCGAGCTAAAGAAGTAAATAAAAGGGGCATTAGGTGATCAGAAGAATACAGAATTTAAGAGTTAAGAGATTAACTCGGAAGTGAACCACAAAATACAAAAAGTTTTTAGGGAAGAACAGCATGTTAAACGAGATGACCTTTCGCGATTTCCACAGCCTAAAACTAAAATCGCACACAACTCAAAACATTTGCAAAACCTTGTTGAACGTTGTTCTGCAGAAACCGGTGTAATAAATTTGATGGAAAAACAGCTTGCAACAACTCCAGGCCCTACCAGCCAAAATAAATTAGCCCACTCACCCTGCACCTGTGAAGTCACGTGTGTTCTGATTGCAAAATTCTCAGCGGAATGAAGAAGCCAATGTTGGGTAATTATACAATCAAAGTAAGAATTTATAGTTTTTTATCCAATAATCATATGTATCGGGGGAGGGTTTCAGGAATTTAGAATTAAAAAAGAACGTGCGTCGCTACTTTCGAAATTGCATGACCCTTCTACAAATGTAAAAACGTTGTTTAGCGTACTTAAATTAGTTTTGTCATTAGGGAATAGAAGATATCTATTAGAAAAGTTTAATGTCAAAATGTGTACTTAAATTTGGTCACATTTACTTCTCAAATCAGTTTTTTTTTTATTTCCTGCTATCACTATTACCAATAATTTTTCAGCGCTCAGTGCAGCAGAGGGCGATGTCGTATAAGAGAAGAGATTTATTTTCCCGTTTGGGCAAGACTTGTGAGAGCTATCTGTTTTACATAAACTTTAATGATGAAGGCACAGCTCTTCGCAGCTGGCTAGTTCCGTGGTTAACTGTTCAGATACTTAATCTTACTTCACATGCGCTCATTCCTTTTAAAGACTGCAGCATGCAGTAGACGAATAAATACTATAATGGGCAAAGATGCATCTTAAGGAAAATAAAAAAAAAATACTGTTTATATGGCAAGTGCCTACAAAAAAATATCTGTGCTTATCTATAGATTCGCAGAGTCTGCGTTTTGAGCAACGCATGCTATGGACTTGCTGCAGAGGAATGTGCAGTGGTACTGACACAGAATAAGACATAAAGAACATATAGATTCCCAAAGGTAAGATCTACAGTACAGTATATATTCTGATCTTCTGAGTACAGTATCTCAGACGAGTCCTTAACACAGGTTTGTGGTTGGTGGTGCTTTGTACAACCTTAAAAGTTATGAAAGATTTCAACCAAACATCAACACATTCTGGATGTACCTCTAGAAAGCATGCAGTGTGTGTTAACAGAATGTACATATGTACCCAAATCCATGATGGGTTAGTTTCCTGTCTTGTTTCCAGTAAAAGATAGCCATTACCATACAGTATATTCATTTCACTGATCCTTTTCTCTTGCATGGCCTTCAAATATCTATATGAGGAAATGACAACATACTAATAATACTCGAGTACTATATTGCGGTACTCTGTCAGATACAATGTAAATAAGTACAAAAACACAGTCTCTCATACATATACAGTACAATGGTACTGTATGTGTCAGTAGGTGTGAAAGAGCAGTACACTGGGGATTGAGTGATCTACAAGGCCAATCTAAGTGACTGTGTTTTGAGGAGACACTTAAGAGCAATGATACTACATGAGTATGTCTTTGTTTTTTAGAACAGGGGTTCCTCACCCTGGTCCTGTGGCTCTACGCAGGCCTGCTTGTTTTCGTTCCAGCCGAACCCCTTTAAATAAGTCTTACATCGAACTGGCAGGTTTCTTGACATGGACCTTTTCGAGATCTCTTTTTTTTTCTATTCCCAAATTGGAAAGATAAAGCTTATTTACCGTAAATGTAACAAAGGGAAACCATTGACAAAATAAAAAGGCAGCCTCCAACATGTCAAGGAATGAAAAAGAAAGATTTGTAATTCCTGTTATTAACTCAATTAAGGGATCAATCAGGCACGTGAGAGCTCGACTGACATGACACTGTGCCAAAGTGTGTGCCTCCAACTTGAACATGGGAATTCCTGGTTTAGATCAAGTTATTTATGTTGCAGTATTTATTTTTACATTTGTTATTTTTGATTGTGTGGTAACTGTAATTGCCAGGACATTCTCTGCTTTTTCCCCAATGAAACAAAATATCATATACACATTTCAAGCATTTGAATTAATACCGAATTCTTACAGAATATGAGAGAAATTTGAAAATGTATCTACTGTATTTCCTGCCTGTGGTATTTATTTGTGGAGTGTCCCAGCTAAGGAAAAACTGAAATAAAAAAAAATACGGAAATGAAAATGACTGGTAATAACTTTCATGGTAGTGTGTTGAGCCTAACTACCACTTCTGAAACAAAATCAGTTTCTATAGCAACAGCTTACTTGGAGTCTTTGTGCTCTGATACTAACATTTTGCGTACAAAAAAAATCCAGGTGCTGACTTTGTGTTGTTCAGAAAAACCTCAATAAGACTGCCTGTGGAATTGTGAGACTAAAGGTATTTCAAAGACACTAATAATAAGGATAGCCATCTTCACCTTTATTATGTTAGAATGCTGTAAGAATTGGGTGGAAGAGGAAGGTACAGATCTCAACATTTCTCAGGGTTTTATGCTTTCAGTACAGATGCCTCCTTCCCTTATCTGCAGCTGTAGTGATGACCTGCAAGGTTTACAGCCATCTCATTTTCCTTCATCTCATACTCTTTCCTCGCAGCAGCATTCAAGATAAAATCTGTTGCTTCAGCGCCGTCGACTGGCTTGCTGCAGTGAGAGCTCTGAGTATCCCTTCCCTCCATTGTTGTCCACTATGAGTGCTGCATTAATATTGCCTGTTGCACTTCGCAGCAGAAAAGAATGGTGGTTGCTTCCTACAGTAATCAAGGCTGCAGGCTTTGACATTTACAGAGCAGTTATCAAACTTAAAAATACAAGACTACTGTGTGGATGACATGGCTGCTGTATCCCATTTTAAAGCTGTTATTATTATTTTTAACAGCCCCTCCACTTAAAGTGAGGAGAAATGCACATTATTGGGATTGGATAAAGGTTTAAGTGGCATCTTATTAGGCCATTCTGACAAAAAATGGACAGTTTTGAATGTGGTGATTTGCTTTATTTATGGGATGTCTTGCTAGTCAAACTGGAGTATTGTTATTCACTTGATGGCTTTGTCACCGTATTGCTTGTGCACAGCAAAAGATGCTCCGGGAAAGTTCTGGTTGAAATACCAACAGAAATACAGCATACAGTTTTAGTTCCTTGCAAGCAAAGGTAGTTTTGCCTGCTACTTGGGTGTTAATTGGGTGATATTCCACTGAAGCTTGTTTTCAGTGTTGTAATGCTCAGTATTAGTTTTGAGAGCTGCATTCTCCACAGGTTTTTATTCAGTGTCTAAATCATGATTTCAAAACCTTGACCTTTTCTTTTTCTCCACCGTCAAAGAGCTTTGGCTATATTATTGTTGTATGTTGGCTGCTGTACAAATTCAAGCACTAGAACCAATTCATTTTTGCACTTCTCTCCATTATCTACAAGGTCTTTTACAAAACATCACAATGTGACACTGCAACGTGCAGTTAAAACACACTTAAAGTACCTTATATAAATCTTGTTGCAAAGTATAAAGGCATTTTGCAATATGCAAAATTATTCAAGCATTGCCAAAAAAGACATAAAGATGATAAAAACATTTCCATAATACTCTTTTTCATTTTAATGTTTATTACCAAGGTGGAAAGAAAGACAACAAAATAGAAAGCTGAGCTCTCCGAGACTGACCTACGCGAAGGCACGTTAAATCATTTGTTTTGCTGAAAATGGTTGAAAAACGTGGACAGATAATGAATAATACACAACAGCAGGAGAATAACATCACAGCTATGAATGCAGTGTGGCAACAAGTGTTTCTCCATTCTAGTTCAGATTAATTATAATTATTATTGTCACAACACTGACAGAGCCCCCATAAACACACTCATAACCACACTAGCTTTTACTGTACATTCACATGTCCTGGCTGAGACACCCTGGTGCAACACTCCCTGTTCTTAGGACTGGTTTCTCATTCAAATGTAGTTATACATGTATTATATATTATATGAACTTGGAATTGTGTTTCATCCCTTGCTGTGTAAAATGAGTTTATTATGCCGGTGATGTGCTTGAACGCGTGGGATGCTGTGTGCCTCATTTGTATCCTGACAGCTCACTGAAGTAAAGGAACACATCATTTAAAAGTTAAAAGTTTGTTGGTTATAAATATTCAAAAAGATGCCAGAGGACTGTTGCATTCGAGGCAGCTATGA